TAAAAAATTAGAATTAAAATTAAAATTAAAACTAGACCAAAGACTATAATCTTACCACTTGTGTCCTCGGTACGTATCGTCGGAATCTCTTTCTGCTCCTTCTGTTCTTTCTGTTCCTTTTGTTCCTTCTCTTCCTTCTTCTTTTCTTTCTTCAAATCTTTTTCTTTTTCCTTATCTTTTTCCGCCTAAACTTGACATATCAGAAGCTGCAGTTTAGAATGGAAGTGTGATTCACCTTCTCTTTTCCATCTTTATCCTTCTTTTTGCCCTTGAGCATTGTCGACGAAGCGACGACCTTAACAAATATGCTTTCTTAAGCTATACTAAAGCTATGATTTTTAGCCATTTGTATCCGGCTATCAATATGAAGTTAATTTCATGGCTCTTATAGCTCTTAAAATACTATATCCAAAAAAGCAAATGCGTATGGTGTAGAGAAAAAAAGCGAGACGTTGAATTCAGCCATTAAGAGCTCAAAGCGGATTACAGGCGATTACATATAAGTCCAAACGATAAATGAACTTTTCACATAAGCTCATTGCTAATAGAATAGCATCTATAGTCTAAAAAGTTATGCAAATCGAGGAGCAAAAGATGACTCGAAAAAATGCAAAATGTGATTTTTAGACGTTTTTGGCGCAAAGTTTTGAGAAATTATGGCAATAACAAACACACATATCTGTGTTCAAATTCTATGTTGAAACTACAGCAAACTGAAACAAATTCATTTTTCAGAAACATTTCTTCAAAGCCAACTTTCACTGTGTAGATAATATCAAGCTCCAAGCAGATTATGATCTCAATCCAGTAGCGCGTTCTACCGAATAAGAAAGATTACAAGGAGTCAATTATGTGACGAACATGCAGCTAGCTACAAAAAAGATCCTGAAAACCAAGAATTTTCTGGATTCCAGGAATTAGTGGCATCTCTTTTTATTGCAGTGAAGGTAGAGAACATGTGGAGGAATGAACCACACAGGCATGTAATTTAAAACAGAGCAATCTTCAGAGAAACAATTTAAAATAGAACAATTTTCGGAATATAATTTTGCATAGCAAGAGTATGGATAAAGCTTTCCGATAAGAATTCATATAATGAATATAATAATGCTTCTCGTATTTTTGTTACAGATGCAGGATTTAAATCAAAA